CCCCAAAACCCCAAAACCCCAAAACCCCTTAAAGAAGAATTTTCAATACAAAATAAGCACTAAAAAAAACAAATAAAAATACAAGATTATATAAATTAGGCATATTTATTACAACGTTCTAGAATTTAAGATATATATAACTCTCTTAATAACAAAATATGTATGGCTCAATCAAAAATGTATGCCTCCTGTTATCATTACTTTTAATCCTGACTACTCTTATGAAATATTCAATAGGAGAATCAATTTAATGCTTTGATTACCAATTTCCCTAAGCAATAGGCTAAGCAGCTAATTCTGATGCATCAACAATGTTTTTTACACTTGATGTGAGTCCAAGTGGCTATATTATAGCTGGAGGTGCCTCAAATGAAACTAAATTAGTCAACGGTATACAAACTCCAATAATGGTGTAATTCAATAGTAAAGGATAATAGACATGGGCAAAATAGATAACTACAGGTGCATACTAATACGTTTCAAATTTACGCCATATGAATGATGATTATATTGTAGCAGTATTATCTGCTTGGGGTCCAATACCAAGTAAATAGCTTACATTAGCTCTTTTCTCAACTACTCCTTTAACTTTCATAAAAGCAATTGTTGATTCTAATGAGGCAAATTTTGCACTCTCTGGATCTGATTCAATTATTTTTTAATCTGCAAGTGTTTTTAACTTTGTTTACTCTGATCACGATGGATATTTAATCCTTACTAAATTTAATATTGAAGGAAGTACAATGACTTTGATTGCATCTGCTAAATTTGAAGTAGCCAATTACAACTGGTATTCTGTTTCACTTGCAATTAGCAGCTATAATTTATTTGTATCTGGTTACGCCGAGGGATTAAATGATTTCGGTTCGCTATCAATGTTCAGTTTGGGTAACTTTGAAAAGAAATTTTCAATAAAATAAGCGAATTGGTATTAAAAATAATCTGTTTAAAAGATCAAGTTCTTCTATAATACAAATACAGGTTTTAGCTATATTTATGGATGCTTAGGATATGAATTATCAGGTTACGTTCAATTTGATATCACAAATATATATAGTATTACTGCAAAGTAGTTTACAACATTAGGTAATAGTTAATGCTACGATATATATGTAGAAAGTACTGCAAAAATTCTTATATTTACACAGGGTGTTAGTTATGTAAGATTATTTAAGATAAATGAAGATGAAATGTAATCTGTTTAAGTCTAATATCCAGCTTATGTTTCCTCAGGCAACAGACTTTGGGGTGCCAAAATAATCAATTATGATACTATTTATTACGCTTCTAATGTTGAAAATATTAAAGGCTTTATCACTTAAACTTTCTTGAAAAGTAAAGCTTTTTTGAATAGATTACTCACAAGTGATACAGGAAGTAATGCATAATAAATCGAGAAAACATAGCTTATAAGTTATTCAAGTTTATATATAAGCTACTTCAACCATTATTCCCTTACTAATACATACTCTTACTCAGATTAATTAGTCTCTCTAGCTTTAGCTGATATGAAAGTGTCTTCTGTTTTAAATATTACTCCATACTATTCTCCAATGAAAATAGATATGACAGTACCTAATTTAGAAATTCCTGTATACGTTATATTTTCTGATCCAATATCAGTAGTTATTCCATCTTATATGCAAACAGAATGTAATGATGCCATTATAAAAACGTCAATTATATCTACTTTGCCTACATATATAACCTTTGATGGTAATTACAAACTTACTATCTCCTCAAACGATTTATCAAAAGCAGGATCTCACATACTAAAATTTAGACAAACAATCCAATAAAATAGCCAATACTTAGATGGTCAGTTTACATTCAAACTTATAAATCCTTGTCCTTCGTAAACAATCATTGTGCCAATTTAAGAGGATATTAATTATTATATTGACTCTGGGGCAATAACAAAATAATTGAATTCTTTTACTACTGTTTATACACAAGCTTAATGCGGTAATAATGAATATACACTTTAAACAGTTGATGATTTAGGACTTGATTCATCACTATTTACTTATGAAGCAGGGACTAATAAATTGACTATTAATAGCTAAGATTCAAATATGAATGGACAATCAAGAACACTCAAATTAAGTTTTAAATAGGGAAGAAATGCTTAGACTCTAAGATCTTTAACTTTTACTGTATAATTCATCAAAGGGTGCCAGACAACAATAATAACAGCACCTTCCATTAGTGATCAATCATATCTTCTTAAATAAAGTTAAATTCTGATCCCTCTAAATTGGGTTGAATCAATGGGAAGTTGTGGGTTATTTACATATTAACTATTTATAGACGATGTTGAAACCAACGATAATGGTTATATTAGTCTTGACTAGGCTCATAATCAAATAAAAATATACTCAGCTTCATCTAATGCAATAGGCACTCATACTGTAAAGTTATAAGGTTCTCTTTTAGCATTTCAGTTAAGTAAAACGATTTAGTTTAAGACAATTATCTAACCTAATAATAACTTTGCTCCTAGATATAGTTAGGAAATTCTAGATTCTATAACTCTATTTGCTCCTACTAGAAAAATAATTGGGCTACCAGATATCATTGATGATGACGGAGATTCTTTTACTGTTTAATTCACTTATGGAAAAACTAAGCCATTCTTAAGTTATGCTTCAGGGTCAATAAGCATTTAGGCCTTAGCATCTAATGTCGGTGAATATGATTTCAGCATAACTTTGACAGATGATAATCCAGTACCTCTAAGTCAAACCTATAAAATACACTTAAGCATTATGCTAGACTAAGCATCTGTAACTACTCCTTCTACTACTGAAACTAATAATTCTACAAATTCTTCAACCCAGAATACCTCATTGGCCTATATCGTAAGTACAAATGATAAGATCTAATCAACTTAAGTTAAAAAAGTAAACTATTAAACCGTTGAGAAATCATTAAAAGCATACATTTCGAGTATTTCAATGATGGGCGAAGTAGACATCAAGTTTTCAGAAAGAATTCTTGATTTAAAATAATCTAATTTATAAAATCAGACTGCTCTCAGTCTTAAACTTGATTCTAAAATTCAAAGCTTAAAGAATTTCATCAAAACTTGGGAAATAATTTCAGTCTCAAATACTGGAATAAAGATTCAGATAACTTTTAATGAGCCCTTATTAGTCTCCAGCAGTAGTGTAAATTCAAAAATTTTTAATTATTTCTTTTTAGAAAGATGACCTGAAGGTAGAGTTTTTGAAGCCTTAATATTTTATCGCAGCGACATTGAAAAGTGCATTGCCCTAGAAATATACCATTAAAAAGAGTGTTCCGCCGCAATTACCTAATAATGGTAAATCAATTTTTTATAAACATATTAGCTTAGACTGCTGCACTTCAATCATTTGGGTCTTCTTCAAGTAACACATTAGTTGGCTCAGTTATGCTTAATTTTTTCTTGGCTTTGGCCTTAGGATTATCTCTTAAATAGCTTTGGATGCTGATTAATACTCTGCAGATAATTTGCGCGATGCCTTTACTATAGATGTAGATTCCCTCAAACTTCATTTTATTTGCATAAAGTCTCAAAGACATATCAAACCTTAACATCATCCCTAAATAGTATATGTCTCATCTGATAGGAATATTTAAAGGAAGTAATGATGATTAAGATGATAATATTGATGATGGAAAAATGAACAGTATGGATATCTTTTAATCAATACAAGCCTTTTCAAAAGAAATTTAACCAGCTAAAGTTATTAATAAACAAGTATTTTAAGTAATGTTGGGCTTTTGTTTTTTGCATTTTTTGCATTTATTTTTGCAGCTGCTTTGATAATGCTTTTGAGATATCTTATTCGAAAATATGAAAAGTAAATAATCATAATTTAATATACTAATAGAGTTTAAGCTTTATTTAACAAGATACTTAAGATTCTTTTTTTCAATACTTTCCTTCGAACTTTATTAAAAGGTTACCTAGGATTTGCTCTTGCTTTATTTATCTAAGTTAAAAATGTAAGTAAATTAATAAAATCCATTAATTTTATAGATGAAATACGACTTTATGAGTACTCTAGTAACTATATTAATGGGGTTTTTCATTTTAGGTACTCCATATATGACCTATGCATTTCTTGCTAGGTATTAAAAGATGTTAACCGACGATTAATTTTAATCTAAATATGGAACAATGTATATGAATTTAAAAACAACTGAGGTAGCTGTGCTTTACCCTACTATATTTTTTGCAAGAAGACTATTATTTGCAGTTTCTATAGGCTTCATGGATGAGCATCCTGCTCTGCAATTGACTACTCAAATAATAATTAGCATGGGTTTTATGAGCTTCATCGTGAGTTATAAGCCAATGGAGAGTCATGGAGTTATGATTTTTGAATTCTTAAACGAAGCTTCCTTAATGATTGTCTCATATATTTTGGTTCCAATTACTATAGATGACTTTGCTGATGATCTCATGTAAATTACTTTACAATTTTATATTTATTTAGAACGACAAAATACAATTTAGGTTGGTTGATAGTTAGTGTAGTTGGATTTACAATAATTACTAATTGGTGCAACTTAATTTATCATAATACTAAAAATATTGTAAATGGAATTAAGAGATTTAAATAAAAGCAAATGCTATCAAAAATGGCAAAGAAATCAAATTTATACCTTGCAAGCTCATCTACCTTCTCTACATAAATATTAAATAAGAATTCATTCTATATTGAATAGCCGATTAATATTACGCCTAACAGATTTTAAAACTTCAAAAATAATACTACACTTTATCCCTCAATGGATTTTACAATCAATAAAAGTAGAAACCCTTCTTCTAAATAACAAAATGATGTAAAACAAGAGACTATTAATTCAGAATTCGAAACAAAAAAGTAAATTAAAAAACAAACTACCTAAAAGAAACAGATTGAGAAGGAAAACATTAAAAAATTAAAGAAGGAATAGAATTAAAAAGAATAAAGTAGATACAAGCAGATAAATTAAACAAAAAATTAAAGTTAAGATAGTTCTAAAAAATTAGTGAAATTTAAAGAGGAAAACTTAGTAGTTATGGATTTCGATGAGCTAAATATGGCTTAAACATAAATTACTGTTTTCAATAACAACTATGATGGGTATGACATTTTTAGATTTGATGAGATAAATGATGAAGCATTTAAAAGTCCATTTGAGAAGTCAAACACAATATAAACTAAAAAATGAAGGCTCTAAAGATGTTGCTTTAAAGGTTAATATCTAAAAACAATTATATACAAATCGTAAACTAGAAAATCAATACCTGCTCTTGCTCTATTGATTTCTCCTTTTTTAATTATATTATTTCATTTTGAGATATAATTGTCAAATAAATCTTGACTTAAGGGGTTTTGGGGTTTTGGGGTTTTGGGG